CTTATCATTTTTTAACACACTTGCTACAGGCACCTTCTGTTTTGGGGGACAATTGGATTGACAATTCATCACCCTTTTGCCCACCCCTCCTAGTTTAAATACATCCTAGCAAAACCTCTGAACTGCTCACTGAGAACATATGTTCCCTTTTGAGAAAGATGCAAACCATCTTTTTTGTACAACTTATCTCCATTCCAAACAGAGCTACCATGAGAAATAAAGCCAAATCTTTGCTCCCGACACCATTCACCAAGCCACAAGTTAAAGTCCCTAATACGCATCCGCCTGTCGTTCTGAGTGTGATGCACAGGCAGAACTTCAGAGAATGACAGTGTGGAAGCAACCTGCCGTATATCATTGGCAAAAACACTAAACACTTCCTTAACCTTTGAAACCTCATGCAAGCCAAGTCATTTGTCCCTAGATGGACAAGTACATCCAATTCCCCTTCCTTCTTTGCTTGCTTAACAATATTACAGATACCTCTCCTGTCTCTGTGAGCAGTAGCTCCGGGAAGACACCTCACAAGACCACCATTGTTCATCTCCACACCTCTTATAATGGAATCCCCCAACAACAACTGCTTTCTATTAGGCCTCACCATAGTCTCCAAGCCAGTCTCCACAACACCACTAGCCTCAGTGCCTCTCTCCACAACACCACTAGCCTCAGTGCCTCTCTCCACAACACCATTATACTCTGAAAGTGCCGAAAATGAATTATGTAGAGCAACAGACTGTGCAAAATGCCTTTTATCCACAACTCTAAGTCTACCAGATCCTACAGTAATCCATCTGCCATTCCTAGTATGTCTCTGCGGCAATGGCTTTGCAGCAGTTCCAGTCTGAGTTTGTTCACCAGATAATTTACAAATCTCAGACTTCAAAAATACAATCTCCTGCCGCAAGATAGAGAACTGTCTACAGATTAGACAACAACCAAACCTCCAAAAAGTGGAACGTGAAACAAATGCATAGCAACTATTACACTGAACTAAGTCTGCCATTCCAATGAGGAGAATAATTTAAATCAAACAAATCTTAACTTTTTATTTATCCTCCTGAATACCTCAGATTACCTCCAGTTTATCTCCAGAATATCTCCAACTACACACTTAGAAGCAACACTCTCCAGAATATCTCCAACTACACACTTAGAAGCAACACTCTCCAGAATATCTCCAACTACACACTTAGAAGCAACACTTAGATGAAGCAACCAAGCTATATTAGCCAAGCTAATGACAACAGCCCTTATATAACTCCTAAAATCACCACCCACTAGGAATGTTTGACACCTGGGTAGGCCTCTGCTTATTTGCAAACAATAGCTAATTTAAACAGCAATCAATAGTAAGTAACTTAATCAAATGCCTTATAATTACCAACAGGAATTCAAACCTTGTAGAATCAGTAACCTTTTCCTACAGATGAATCTTACCTGTAACCGTAAAAAAGAAAGCTCTTAGCACAACTCTTAGACAGTTGAAGCCTCTGTAAAACTCTCCAGAATATCTCCAACTACACACTTAGAAGCAACACTTAGATGAAGCAACCAAGCTACCAAGGTACTTCTACTTAACGTAACAGACAACGTTAGAGAAGTCAATTCCCCTTTGACAGAAAATGTAGACAAAGAGCATGAATCATAAATTGATGAAAACAGTTGAATGAATACGTGGGGTGGACAATGCGTGGGTCAAGTATAAAGAGCTAAGCCTTTTGACATCCCATGAATAAGGGTGAATAAGCAAGTAAACCTGTGGTTTTTTTAGTGTGTACCCGATAGGAGTGATAAGGCTGAGTGATGCCTGATCGATTGAAGCTAACCTGTCAAGATAAATGTAGATGCAATGAAGGACCACTTACCTATAACATGAATAATATTGAATGGCGAGACTTGGTGACAACGAATGATGGGAGACCACTTAAAGTCCAATTTGAAAATACAGGAGGAATACATTGTACATTGAAAAGCTGGAGTCTGCCGAACACGACCATACGAGGCTTAAGGTAAAATTGTTGTAAACATATGAGTGACAAAGCAACAAATACCTTGCAAATAATTTACAGGTTAATACAGTAGTCGACTGAGGTAATACTGTTGAAAAAGGAAGATTAGTATTATTAATACTGGTATTTATAAAGCACCAATAGATTCCACAGCGCTGTACAACTAGTGGAGAACATACAATATACACAGACTAATACAACAGGTAAAGATGGCCCTGCCCATAAGTTGAGATCTAGCCATTCAAGCTCTTTTATACAAAGTGCTTAGCTAGATAGCCTGTGAGCTTACAATCTAAAGGATACCGTGGTGATTTGTGACAAGAGGTAGCAGGGGAAATTTGGAAGTAATTGCTAAATAAGTAAACAGAGAATTGCAGATATTGGTAGAATATAGAATAGAGGGAATGAAGAGGTAATAGAGTGAGAATTTTAAACAGCTAGAAGAGCATGCTATTAATTTAGGGGATATCAAAGAAAATTTGTAAATAATAACTGGAAGTTGAATTAAATAAATAATATCAAAATGCGAAAAATGAATAAATAAAAAAAATAAAAAATGTTTGTGAGTACAATCAAAAAAACAATCAATACAAATATCTCCCCAGCTATCAATAGCTGTACCTCCCTAATGTCTATGTGAGTTAGTATCAAAACAGACTTCTGACTTTAATATTATAATCAGTGTCAATGTCTGTAAAATATAAAGATACAGATATCATAGACATCATGTAGCTTAACACAGTATTGTGTCAAAATATCAAATTGGCAGATTTGCAACAAAAATTGAATGTAATGTTGCTGCCTTTATTAATCAAACTATACTGTGTTAATCCTCTGACTAGAGGGGGATGAACATGACCTGTTAAACACTATTCAACAGGTTTGCCATTTGTGTAACTGTATATGGGATTACACTCATTGCATGAATCCTAATTATTAATTTAGGGGAAATGGGCGGGGGGGGATTTAGCCAAGTAGAATTGAAATGTAGCGATGAAATGGGAATTAGGCCTAAGGAGGAGTAGAGATAAACAGTATAAGCGACTAGAATTAACCAGGTGTCATGTATACTCTTAACAGTGTGGAAGAATTATCGGGTCAGAGATGATGCAGGGACACTCCAAACACTCCAAACACAGGTCGTTGAAGAACAAAGGCTATTTATTGTTTTGCAGCTGCAAAGTCTCAGTCAGACAATAGTCTTGGAATACACAACTGAGCACAAGTTTACAAGAGAACAAAGAATATATACCACAAATGACGGATTCCATACGTATACAAGAATACAAAAATTACACCTACATTACTAAAGTTACATCCAATTATTAAACTAATGCTTACATATGTTATCTAATAGTGGGTGTTCCTGACATTGCACACATGTGCCCTGGTTGGATAATTGCACAGTAGTTTTAACTGTGAGTACTGAACTTTTTTAAAACATCATGTAGCTTCTACCACAACAGCATATAACGTGTGTCACGGTTCTCACCATGACATCCTGATGTGGTTGACCCAGAAGTGCCCAAAAGGGGATTTGAACATGGGTACTTTGTGGTCTTGGGCCTGGTTTACTGCCTTTAAGCCACAGCAGCTCTTATTCCTCACAGTATTTCTAGCCCTGTTCTACCAGGCTATGTCTCCAGCACTAGGGGGCTCGACTTTTCCTGTGACTGCTCCTGTCTATCTCAGTCTACATGAAGCAGATGCCAAATCAGCCAGGTATAAAACACTGCCTCTCTGAGGGCAGTGTCAGTTCATTGACTCTGGTTCCTGTATGTGTGTTCTTGATCCAGTATTGTCCAGACGGCTCCTGACCTTGGTTTTTCTCATTGTTTATCCTGACCTCCGGCATCCACTGACTTTGGCTTATCCTTGTTCATCCTGACCTTTGGCATCCTCTTCCTTGGGCTTATCCTCTTTTATCCTGACTTCTGGCATCCTCTGACTTTGGCTCACCCTAGTTTAACCTGACCTCTGGCATCCTCTGACTTTGGCTTATCCTCGATTATCCTCCTGCTTTTGTCCTCCAACTAACATTTTTTTTTCACAACAAACAGTTAAATAAGCTGTGGATGGTCGGTCATGGTGGCTTCCATGAGATACAAAAGGGGGAAGGCTATTGATTATTGAGTTAACAGGATTATTTGCGTGAGCCACTCTAGGGCATGACCAGCTTGTTCGGGGTATATGCAGCCTTTCCAGCCATGGCCGGGAAGAAGACGCCTCCGGGACTTAACTCAACTGCAACATTTAAAAAAGGTCCAGATCTCAGGGCCTTGGGAGTAGCGGGGACAAAGTATACTGCAAAGGGACCTGTGCTGATGGGTTGGAATGTTGTTTAGCGATAGGACATCACCTTAAACTAATTATTGCAACATCCTATAAGGAAATTAATAATGCAAATTGATAATATCCCTTATGTGCAACTGGCTTGCTAACTAGTGCCCTGCTAGTTGCCAAGTGACTGTGAGAGGCTCTACCTATGATTTGGGTTGTGTGGGCTCTTGTCACAATGCGTTGAGGTGAGGTGTTGGCCTCTCGGTGATGGTAAAAGAGTCAATACATGTGGCTTGACATGTGAGGCCCTGACCCTATGAGTATTGCTCACTGGAATTTTCTTGAAAGTAGGCTATTTAAAGTAGTCTCTTTTAAGAAGAAGTTGAAACAACAGGAGTTTCTTGGAGAACTGGTGGTCTGTGGTTGGTATTAGTTAATACCAAGTGAAAAGGAAGGTTTAATTAAAAAAAAAAAAAATTAGTACTTTTTTCTATCTTTTTTATAGATATTTTTAATCTTTGCTGATTTTATTTTTATCTTTGTCCCTTTTTTAATTTATATTTTCCTCTTTGCTGTTATAATTTAAAACCTTATTCCTTTTTTATATTATAATTTTATTTCTTTGCAGTTTTTATTTAAAACTTTGTCCCTTTGTCCATTGAGGATAAATGGCAACTATTCAAACAAATGAGACAGAGGGGTATTTTTTATATACACCCCTATATATTTATTAGGTATTTAGGTAAATTTTATATACACCCCTATACATTTATTTTATTAAATAAATATATAGGGGTGTATATAAAAAATACCTAAATACCTAATAAATATACAGGGGTGTATATAAAAAATACCCCTCTGTCTCATTTGAGATATTTTTGCCAGAAGGTCAAGGAAGCAAGCTGAAGGGTCAGTGTTAGGACCCGCTTAGGGGGTCTGCCTTAACGTTCGGAGACGGGCATTCCATCCAATATCCATTGGAGTAACTAAATGACCTCCATTTGTTTAAATATACATAGGGATTAAGGAGAGAGCGCAGGTAACTTGTTTTTCTTTGGTTTTTACTATATATTGGGGCTGATGTGTATTGTAGTAATTGCTGCCGCCCAGGAATGAGGGGAGTGAGCGCAGGACTTATCTTTCTGTATTTGTATTCACTTTTTGTATCACACAGCTTTGTTACAATGCTGCCGCCCATCCCATGTGTTCCCTATTAAGGGTTAATTAATTTATATAGGGGTGTATATAAAAAAACCTCTGTCTCATTTGAGATATTTTTGCCAGAAGGTCAAGGAAGCAAGCTGAAAGGTCAGTGTTAGGACCCGCTTAGGGGGGTCTGCCTTGACGTTGGCAGATGGTCATTCCTTCCGATGGCCATTGGAGCAACTAAATGACCTCCATTTGTTTAAATATACATAGGGATTAAGGAGAGAGCACAGGTAACTTGTTTTTCTTTGAAATAGGCATTGAAAGCCATGTATCAGTGTTTGCAGATGCCACAAAACTTTGTAAAGTAATAAAATGTGAGCAAGATATTGCTTTGCTGCAGAGGGATTTTGAAATGGCAGATGAAATTTAATGTAGAGAAATGCAAAGTTATGCACATCAGGGTCAAGAATGCACAAGCAACTTACACCCTAAATGGTAGTGAATTAGGGGTAACCACACACGAGAAGGATTTGGTAATTGTTATAGACAACAAATTAGGCAGCAATATGCAATGTCAATCTGCAGTTGCTAAGGCCAGTAAGGTTTTGTCATGTATAAATAGTGGCATAAATTCTCAGGATGAAAACATAATGTTGTCTCTTTGTAAATTGCTGGTCTTTAGTTTGGAAAAATGGTACTTCAGAGGGGATCTGATAACATTATAAAAATATATTTGGGGCCAGTACAAACCATTATCTGGAAATCTATTTATAAACAGGGCTATACATAGGTCATGCATTTAGGCTGGAAGAAAGGAGATTTCATCTAAGGCAAAGAAAAGGTTTTTTTACAGTAAGAACAATAAGGATATGGAATTCTCTGCTGAAGAGGTGGTTTTGTCAGAGTCTATACAGATGTTTAAACTGCAATTGGATAAATACTTGCAAAAGCACAACATACAGGGATATAATTTCTAATTAGTGGGTTAATAGCCGCTTGATCCAAGGAGATAACTGACTGCTATTTTGGGGTCAAGAAGGAATTTGTTTCTAGTTTGTTGCAAAATTGGAAGTGCTTTAGAGTAGGTTTTTTGCTTTCTTTTGGATTAACAGCAAAATCATATGTGAGGAAGGCTGACCTTGATGGACACAAGTCTCTTTTCAGCTATGTAACTATGTAATCCTGCAGAAGTGTATGCGAGGCACTTATTATGAATTGGGAAAAACCTCTGTGATGAGGTGGGGAGTTGGCCTTGTGGGACTGATATGTTAAGGTTTTTTTGTTTTTTTTAGCTACTATCCCTAAAAGCTTCCCTAGATGTGGCTTGTCTCTTTTGTGAGTGAGCATGAATGTAAACGTACATGCTTAACCCCTTAAGGACGGAGCCAAATGTACACATTGTGAACAAAACAAAATGTAAACAAAACCTGGCATTTGCGCTACATGTCTGTCCAACCGTAATACACCTCTTTCATAGTAAATGCACCCACCCTTATTATATATCATTTTATTCAGGGGAAACAGGGCTTTCATTTAATATCAAATATTTAGCTATAAAACATAATTTAATATGAAACAAATGGGAGAAAATGCGATTTTTTTAATTTTTTTAGTTCTAAATTACATTTTAAAGGTCAGTGTCATAATACTGTTTGATTTTACTGCAATAAAATACACATATTTGTATTCAGCAAAGTCTCACGTGTAAAACAGTACCCCCTATGTACAGGTTTTATGGCGTTTTGGGAAGTTACAGGGTCAAATATAGCACGTTACATTTGAAATTGAAATTCGCCAGATTGGTTACGTTGCCTTTGAGACTGTATAGTAGCCGGGAATGAAATTTACACCCATAATGGCATACCATTTGCAATAGTAGACAACCCAAGGTATTGCAAATGGGGTATGTCCAGTCTTTTTTAGTAGCCATTTGGTCACAAACACTGGCCAAAGTTAGCGTTAGTATTTGTTTGTGTGTGAAAAATGCAAAAACGCCAATTTTGGCCAGTGTTTGTGACTAAGTGGCTACTAAAAAAGACTGGACATACCCTGTTTGCAATACCTTGGGTTGTCTACTATTGCAAATGGTATGCCATCATAGGGGTAATTTTGATTCTTGGGCTACCATAGGGTCTCAAAGGCAACGTAACCAATCTGGCGAATTTTAATGTGAAAAAAATGAAACACAAGCCTTATATTTGACGCTGTAACTTTTGAAAACACCATAAAACCTGTACATGAGGGGTACTGTTGTACTCGGGAGACTTCGCTGAACACAAATATTTGTGTTTCAAAACAGTAAAAAGTATGCAGCAATAATATCGTCCGTGTAAGTGCTGTTTGTGCGTGAAAAATGCAAAACCTTCACTTTTACTGGCGATATCATCGTTGTAATACATTTTACTGTTTTGAAACACTAATATTTGTGTTCAGCGAAGTCTCCCGAGTAGAACAGTACCCCCCATGTACAGGTTTTATGGTGTCTGGAAAGTTATAGGGTTAAATATAGTGCTAGCAAATTAAATTCCCTTTACTTTCGGCATGGGTTGTCAGGCAGGTCCCGCTAATTGTAATTAATTAAGATACCTAATTATGTAAAAATATTACATAAATATATATGTAGAATTAATATATGTATATATATACGTATGTGTATATATATGTATATATCTATATAATTTTTTTAAAATATTTTTATTTATATATAGGTATATATATAGTGATATATACGTATATATTTATGTATATAGATATATATATTATTTCGTTCTACGTGTATTTTGATATATATATATATATATATATTAATTTCACAAAACAGTTAGAACGAAATAACACACATCTATATATGTTTTAATTATTTATTTTTAATTATTTTTTTAATTTTATTTTTTAACGTATTTACATTTTAATTTTTTTTATATTATATATAAATATATATATATATAACAATAATTATATATATATTTAATCAGTATCGGTCTACGTGTAATTTGATATTAATATATATATATAATTATATATATATTAATAGTAAAATACACCTAGACGGTGTATGTGTGTGTATGTATATGTGTATATATATACTTAGATCATATATATAATATATATATATGATCTAAGTATATATAATTATTTTTTTTTACACCATTAACTTTTTTTATTTTATTTTCAGCCAGCAGGGGGACCACCTGTCATTACAGGCAGCCCCCCTGCCGGCAATACAGAAGCCAGCTATCCCCGGCCATGTGATTGTGGGGTCCTCGCTTCAACGAGGACGGATGTGCCGCGGGGGGCTCCCTGGGAGTCCCCCCCACCGTGATCGCCGGCGTGGGACCGCCGGCAACCGGGTAAGTTAACAAAAACCGGAGGGCGTACAATTACGCCCGGCGGCGTTTAGAGCCGCCTATTAGAGGGCGTAATTGTACGTCCTCCGGTTTTAAGGGGTTAAACAAACATAATAGAATCAGAAAGAGAAGGACTGGAAAATGGCACCTGATGAAACCATCAATTGTGATGTGAACCATAAAATAGTAGAATACAGTGACCAACAGAAGGTAAAAATGTGTTTTTTACGAGCGGGACTTAAAGAAGAGAATCTGATTGAGGCCATTATGTGTCGGTATGATAAATAACTTATCATTTACCTGATAGGCGTAGGATTGCAACTTGTATGTATACTAATATGCCTATTGATGTAAAACTTCTAGACAGAAAAACAGCATGACAGAATGTCAATATCCCGTTGGATATCATGAAACATAAAGGACATAGTAAGATGTATTTCATATTGAATTGTGTAATGTATGATCGAATGCGTATGGATGACGTTGCGTGGGCCAGGCGTGCAGAGGCAAGCCCCTTGTTAGCTATGAAGGGTTTTGTATTGTATTCGGTAGTTGTAATGAAGGCAGAGTGAGGCCTTAATATTTGATGTAAACTTAAACGAAAAACAATGTTTGAATACCTGAAAACTCTAAAACTCACAGAGAGACTCTTGTTTACCGTATCTTTTAGTAGACATGCTAATGGCTTTTACCTGAATCATATTTGTAACGATTGACATAGATGTGTTTGATTGGTACATTGGTAGCCAATGTATCTGAACGTACCTAATTTTAATGTTGTTTGAAATGCAATATTACTGTAACAGGAGGATGATTACGTTAACGGATTATACCTAAAGGTTTGATTTTAAGAGAGGGTAATCCCTGCATGGTATAATTAGACACTGGATGTACAGTAAAACCCATGAATGGGTTGCCAAAATAATGAACAGTAAACCCAATTAATGAATTACCAGTGGGATTTAGCAGCAACCCTTACATTAACCAAACAGTACCTGCGACATAACTGTTTGTAAGCATCCATTTTTATCTTTCTACGTTTAATTGTATGCATTTCTGATTAACATACATGCAATTCTAAACAGTTTTATAGATAACACAATAAGACAGATTACAAATTTCTAAACACAATTCAATTATTTTTTTCTTAATTTTTGTTTTGAACAGAAAAATCAATGAGCGGTAAACCCCCTAAAATGTATTAACCAATAAATGAGAATTTGAGCGTTCGTTGATTTAATCTGGTGGTGGCTCTAATAGAACATGCAAATGGTGTCAGGATTACTGATCCAGCACGCAGAATAATATCACACCTAGGACTAAGGATAAATTATAATCGGACCTTAGAAC